ATAAATCCTTCAGAAACAATCAATTTTCCACCCTAAAAATCATTTATTCGTAATCGTAACGGATTTGCCTCCATTTCGAATTTTGCACAGAGAGCAGTTCTCTAGAAAAATTCTAGTGCTAGCACTGGAAAACGGGCTCAAAGTGACGGCCAGGGAAAAATTCCAGCACTGGAAATTTTATTTGGTAACACGTGACTTTTTCCCGTATTTATATGAAATTTTCACCCTCCTCGCCCCCCTCTCCCCCTAAATAATGAACTCAGAAATCCTAGGACCCCCCTCTGAATGTCTTTCGTAATAAATAAACAGCCCCGCACTGGTTTAAATCCTGATTTTCCAGTGTTCCAGTTTCCAGTGAATCCAGTTTTTAATGATTTTCAAATTTATCGTGAGGGTGGAGCTACTTCAATANGCCCCCCTCTCCCCCTAAATAATGAACTCAGAAATCCTAGGACCCCCCTCTGAATGTCTTTCGTAATAAATAAACAGCCCCGCACTGGTTTAAATCCTGATTTTCCAGTGTTCCAGTTTCCAGTGAATCCAGTTTTTAATGATTTTCAAATTTATCGTGAGGGTGGAGCTACTTCAATAGACAAACTTGATGATTGAAAATCTCAGAATCTATAGTTTTCAAAAATTTTCAAAAGATCTGTAGAATAACAATTACGAGATACTCTTTCGACATTCGACTTCTAAATAACCAATTTCATTCTTTTCCGAATAAAAAATTGCAAATTTTCAAAAAAATCTTCATAAAATAAAAAATTCAGTAGAGACAGGATTCAAAGTTCTTGGTGCGGATCAGAAGATACAGATTGATACGAGACAATGAGTTGGAAAACTCCGCGCCAAGAACTTTGAATCCTGTCTCTACTGAATTTTTTATTTTATGAAGATTTTTTTGAAAATCCTTCTGTTCAGAGTTATCCTCCCCATAATAATCTGATATAACATTCCATGATCCATTGGACATTTCTTGACTTGGCTTTGATTTTTATTTGTTTATTTTTTGCAAAATTTCTATGAGAATTGTGTAGAAAAAAATGTTTCTTCTTTCCAGAAACGAACCCACAAAACTTTTTCTTGGCGCAGTTTTTTTGCAAAAACATTTGTTTTTGTTTTTTTGGGAGATTTCAGTCATTTTTCCAAAACGAGCACACGATCGTTTTCGTATGAATCNCCCCTTTCCAAATAAGCAGGCATATATAGGTGTTATGTCCTATCCAAGTTACTAGGAGGACAGTAGCGCCATTTGGAATATTGAGCGCCAAACTTTGNGTTATCCTCCCCATAATAATCTGATATAACATTCCATGATCCATTGGACATTTCTTGACTTGGCTTTGATTTTTATTTGTTTATTTTTTGCAAAATTTCTATGAGAATTGTGTAGAAAAAAATGTTTCTTCTTTCCAGAAACGAACCCACAAAACTTTTTCTTGGCGCAGTTTTTTTGCAAAAACATTTGTTTTTGTTTTTTTGGGAGATTTCAGTCATTTTTCCAAAACGAGCACACGATCGTTTTCGTATGAATCGAATTGATTTTTTTCCGCGGAACAGAAACTATTTTCAATCACTTCTGCTCTAAGAAAAAAAGGTATTTCTTTCCTACATTTATTTATANACGTTCAATGATAGCATAATTGGATTGAAGGTTTATTTGTGAATAAATCCAAACACCAGTGCTTAGGAGAGCACATTAACACTTTTATTCAAAATAACTNAGATTTCATGAGAAAATCAAACGTTCAAATTGCCCGCGTAAAATAACCTCAGAAATAAACTCGCCTACATGTTATTCATGGACCACTGAAATGTAGTATGTACTGGAAAGGGCACTGCCATGCTAGGCCCGTAAGCGGAAAACGAGCCAGAGAGAGGTAGATTTTCAAGGATACCTGTCTCACTCTAGCAGGCGTTGCGCATGCGTAGAACGAGCATGTACATGCGAGTTAAAAAGCTTATGTACTCTGAGTGGTGCACACTCAATTGTTGCTATTTACGTCTTGGCGATAATTGTCCCATTGTGAGAATAAAAAAATATCCTCTAATCCACGAACAGCTATTTCGTAGAAAATTAGAGGAAAAATCGTGTATTTTGATATTGTCTTCATTGGATTTCTCTTGTATTCTTCATGCATNATACTCTGAGTGGTGCACACTAAATTGTTGCTATTTACGTCTTGGCAATAATTGTCCCATTGTGAGAATAAAAAAATATCCTCTAATCCACGAACAGCTATTTCGTAGAAAATTAGAGGAAAAATCGTGTATTTTGAT